GGTATTTTTTGTATTAAAAAAAAAACGAACTCTGATTTCTTACATAAAAAAAATAAATATAATTAAATTATTAGATGAAAAAAATTAATTAAAACATAATTAATTTTGTTCATTATTTAAAAAATTGTACTTTAAAAAAAATTATTTAAATTACAAATTTAATTTTATTTGACTAGCTGATAAATTTATTTAAATATTGAAAATTTTCTGATTCTACGGGTATTAAATTACTGATTGGGATATTTTTAAAAATTTACTAATAATAATTATATAAAACTAATTAAACGAATAAGATATTTTAAATTTATAAACTTGATAAATTTATTTTACAGATGAATTACAGAATAATACATTAAGGCCAATTGATGAAATTGATGAAGTGTTATGACGGAGAGCATGGGCAAAAAAAAAAGATCTCTCTCGATATAAATTTTTTTTTACTTTAATATTTTTGATTTCTTAATTTATAACAACAAAAAACCTAAGAATCAAGTTATTTTCAACTTGTAAAAATAAAGTATCTATTCATAATGTTCCACTTTAATAAGAATTATCTAGAATAATAAAAATTTTAATTCAGACAGGCAGTTAAATTTTTATGCAATTATCAAACCACTATTCTAATGAGATAATTAAATAATTAAATAATTGTTTAAAAAAGTATTAATAATGTCGCTTATAAATAAATATCATAAATAATAATAATAATAATAATAATAATAATAATAATAATAATAATAATAATAATAATAATAATAATAAAGCGGTGCTTGCTACGTGGCCTCCAAGCGGCGCATCGCGGGAAACGCAGACCATAACACCAGGTCTGTAGGCGAACGACGTAGCCGATGCAGTGGGCCAACTACCCACTGCATTGAAATACTGAGTTGCAAGAAGACGTAATCTCAGAAGTGCTCCCCACAACCGGTCCTTTTCGGATGAGGACCATTCATCAGGTGGGAGGAGCACGCCGGACCCGATGAACGTTGACGACCCTGGCGCTTTAAGGACTAATTTTAAGTGGACGGAGGAACTACGAGTCGATCTTTTGGTGTGCTACCAACACAGCGAGCCGGGGGTGAGCGGTTATATGGCCCGGATGCACACTCTTTGGAGTGAAATGCATCCGGAGCTAGCGCATTTTACGCCTAAACACCTGCGTAATTATGCCGCTTATCTTCGGCGTAATAGAAGATCGCTTGTGCCGGATAGAAGGCAGTCTAATAGACTTTCCTTTCCGGCGCCATTACACCAAGAGCGGCGCCGTTCCTCCTTGGATGACAACAATCCCTTTATAGGACGGCAAGTAAGTATATCTAAAAAGATAACTTACTCTCAACAACAGCTTGACGCGGTAAATGAAGATGTCCGTGCAAACATCCTGGAAGATTCCACCCTGCTCACTGTGAACCAGGTTGTGTATGGTGCAGCAGTTTCGGCTTTTCCGAGAGAGAGACACCGTCTCTCGATCGAGGCAAGGTTGAGACAGCGCATCTCACAACTTGGACTCAAAATTGACAGATCCCGGAAACAGGTCTCCCGCATTCAGTGTGTGATAGAGTTTGAAACAACCCAAAGAGCATACACGCCCCGAATCCGGCGCATTGCTGCAGAACTTCGGTGGCATCATCACACACTGAATAAGAGTACTCTTCTTGTCATCAAAGAAGAGTCTCTTAATAAATTGCGGGCTCTAGTGACTGCTAAAAAGTCACTAGAGAAAAGGCTGAAGCGGTTGGTTGAAAACTCGTTGTTTCGATCCAGCCCTTCACGCTTTCTGACACCAAAGACCGATGTTACCGGGAACTATCCAACACCTGAGCGGGTGGAAGCTTTTTGGACTGATTTGTATGGAGATCAACCAAACGTGAACGCCAATACTCAAGCTCTGCATGACTTCAAAGCATTCTGTCAGGAACACCGTAGACAGAATGCTCATGAAGAAAGCCCTGCAGTCAGTGTGGATGAAGTTCGTTCAGCTCTAAATGGCAGCAAAAATTGGGCTGCCCCGGGACCAGATGGCATTAATGTCTTCTGGTGGAAGAAGTTCACTTCTACCCACCTTCATCTGGCCCGCATATTTACATCGTACATTAGAGCTGACGAAGCGATTCCAGACTGGCTTGTGGAAGGGAATTAATAAATTAAGTATAGAACTCCGTTAACTATAAGAATAAGTCATGTATAAGATTTAAATTACTTAAAGTAGTTTGAAAGGTACACTAAAATTAAAATAAGTCATTGGGTCAATAGGTAAAGTATCAGTCTGACGAGCGCAACGTACATGGTTCGAATCCCCGTCGGCACCAATTGTTTTTTTTTTTTTTATGGACCTAATCGAGTCAGGCATGAACAGATCTGATCAGACATGAACATGCCTGGCCAGGTCTGATCAGACCCGGTCATTTTTCATATCTGATCAGACCTGAAGACTCATGCCTGTTCATATTCGATCAGATCTGATCATTTTTTTCCGGGTAACTTTGAAACGGCTTGAAAGATCGATTTCAAATACTTATCAGCTCTTAACATTAAAAAACGACATCGATCGCCGCCGGTCCGGTCAAAATCGGTTGATTCGTTCGTGAGTTATCGTTGACGAAAGAAAACCGAAAAATGTATTTTTTATAATTACTCTCAAATTTCTTGTTCTATCAATTTAAACTTGAAGATTCTTTATGAAGCTTAAAAAACTACATCGATCGACGTCAACCGCGTGAAAATCGGTTGATTCATTCATAAGTTATTGCGATTTGAAAATTCAAAAAATAGTGTTTTATCAAACTTCTACCAAACTTTTAAGCTCGAAGAGCTCAAAAGCATTAAAAAGCTGCTTTTTGAGCCCGGGGAGCTCAAAATAACACACAAATTGTATTTATGAGCTCGAAGAGCTCAAAAACGTCATAAGTGCAATTTCAAGCGTTTAGGTATTGAATTAGCGGGAAGTTGCAGGGATGGCCTCCTGTTTTTTTCTTAATCTACTATTAATTCCGTGATTACTATTAGTAACTGTAATAATGGCTATTGCCTTGACTATTGTACCGCGCAGAGTGCTTGAATCAGAAAGGTACGCATGCGTAAGACCACATGCTTGCCCTAATTCTTTTGCTCTCACCCAAAGGAGGCGTGAAAAAAATCATTTAATCCTGACGATCCTAATCAAGATAATGAAATAATCTTATCAAAATAGTGTATTGTCATCGGTCCTCGATTAGTCTACGAAGTTTTAATGAAATCTGATTGTTTGAAGTGGGTCAAAATCAAGTCCAAAGGAGTTGGTCACAAACATATAAACGTACAAACAAACGTAAAGGTGAAGTTAATAAAAAGCGTGTAAAAATGATTTTGCCTGAATACGTTTAATCATATATAAGTTATATATAATTATATATAACTATATATAACTACATGTAACAAAATGAAATTATATATAATTGCTCCTAATTGAATATGTGGTTATTTTATGAATATAATATTCGATAAGGTCGAATCAAATTCTTTATATCCAATTAAAATACAAAAAAAAACAATTACTGATAATTTTACGACTATAACTTTAACGCGGTCATCCATCCAAATACTAACCATGCTCAATGCCAGGTAATAAATGTTAGTGGCATTTTGATTATTCTACGCCAATGAAATGGTAAAACACTATTAATAACACCAACTACGGAAATAATGAAAGTACAAAACAATGAGCAAATTCACGAATAATAGGTCGACTTATAGATAAGTAATGACTCAAGAATCATTTCAACAACCGAAGAAACCCCTCCACTACTACAGAAACCTGGACCTCGAAATTATAGTATACTTGTAACAAACGAGGGGGTTTCACCTCCCAAGCTCGGTTTCACCCCAGACCTCGTAATTATGAATATATTCACTCCCGGTCCCTACCAGGATAACGGAGCAGTTCACATGGTATCAGTTATTGATGGAATTAGTTACTGGTACACCATGTGCTCTATGAAAGCTCGAGATCAATTCTAACTTTTTTTAGGGAAGTAGAATCTAAAGTACTTCGTACCATTCCAACGTTAGTATCAAACTCTTTAACGATGCCCCTATCTACACTCGCTTAATATGTACTCCTTTGCCACTCACTCGATCTAACTCTCGCATCTTCATCTAGTCACTTACCTACACAGCTGAATATACATTCTACATCGCACTGAACTCACATGTAATTCAGCACTACGCACAATACATACTATAATCAATAAAGTATCACGTACCTGATACAACCTACACACTCACTTAGTGATTCTCAATCTAAACGTACTCAACAATCAGTCGCTGGAATGCTACATGAACATTTGATGTTACAATTGATGCGTGTTCTTCGGAAAAGTTGCAGTTTGATTGATAATAATAAAACAATTGATATCTTTTCGATGAGACAACGTTTTTTATTACCATGTTAAATTTTGCCAACATGTACGATTTGAAATTACCATGTAGTTTGTTGATATTATTATTGTGATCTATTAATTCATACATAATTCGATTTATCAAATTTTACCATAAAAATGTACCATGTGTTTTAGAAATGTTTATATTTCAAAGTTTTTGAAATTTAAACTTACATTGGATTCAATTAAAATGAATAAAGTTCAAGTCATTTATTTGTTCTTAGAATTCCAGTTTTCGCAGGTTGCTGATTACTTAAAAAATTACCAATAAGACTTATTTAATCAACATAAGTGATAAAATAATAATTGTTTAAATGATTCTACTAACGATACAAATATAAAAAGTTAGTTAATGACGAAAAACACCATTTGGTTATAAATAAACCCTAGTATAAATAGGAACATAATTTTCAACTCCTATATGATCATTTATCACTTAGCAATTTGGTTTTTTTCACAGTGTATTATAAGTTTTTGTTGGTTTTAATAGTAATATACTCACTGTAATATTTACTAACTATAAAAAATAATCCACAGATAAATATTAATATTTTTAATCAACTTGAAGACTATAATAATCAGTCACAGTATGTCAGTTTCATAAATTTTATTGGATGATGCTTGTTCTTCAACTGCAGAAATTACGAGAGAATGATGTGATTCAATTTTCGATGATAATTGTGGTTCTGGATAATCTTTACATGTCAGGCTTGTTAGTGACCCAGAATTCATAGTACACAGACCAAGGCCCATTTTCGCCAAAATGTTGCTTTCAGATCCCGTTTTCTTCAAAAGATCAGGTGACTCTGTAGGTGTTGTTATCGAACCAGCCGTATTTCTTTGGAGTTGTTGTAATCGAGCGTATTGTTCTTGAAGAGTTTTTTGTTTTCGAAGAAGCTCTTTGTGGCGTAATTCCAGTTGATCCTGTCTATCTTTTTTATTTTGTGAACCATCTTGGGAATTGATGCTTTCACATGAACTAGAATCTGATGTAGTGTGTACATTGCTTGCTTGAGTCTGATTGAGCACTTGTTCTTGAACTATGTGAGTTGGAAAACGAATAGATAGTTCAGTGATTTCTTTAGCATGGCGATTTCTGTATGAAATACTTGCGGAGTTTTTTGGAGGTAATTGAGGGCTCGTAGGACTTATTGATGGTGACTTTGAACTAGTTCTAGGTGGTGGGGGAGGAGGAACTCGTTTCAGTGTTGCTAGTGGCAAGAATTCGACGTTTCTTTCTGGTATTGGTGGTTTTTCAAATGTATTAATACTTTCAGAATCATCTATATTTGTTGTCGGAGGAGACGTATCAGTATCAGAACCAGACGGATAAGAGTGAAGTCTTCGAAGTGTACTACTCGTATTCTGCGTCTTGGTCGTTAAAGTATTTAAAGAATCCATGCTTTTTTTTCGATCATTATTGATTACTTTTTTTAACTTTGTAGATGGTGTATGTTTTGAAACGATTATAGGTGATGGTAAATATTCGATATGTTGAGTGGCATTGGAAGTTTGGCTTAATTGTGATGATGGTCTTGAATAAGTTTGGAGTTCATTTAACAAAGCGTCGAGTGTGTTCTCCGAACGCTGCTGGTTGAAGTTGGAAAGCGTGGAGATGGGTGCTCCTCGGATGATGTCTGACGATTCCAACTTATGTTCCGCTGATAGAGAGGCAGCTGTCTGTTTTACACATAAATTATATAATTAGTATATCATTTGTAATTAAAATTAGAGTATTTTACATTAATAAACTACTTTTCGTTAACTGAACCATGCAGAAAAATTTCAAAATAATTTATTTTAGTTTCGACATGTAGTTATTAATAAAATAAATGTTTTAAGAAGAAAAGAGTGGACACGAATTTATGAAAGAGTTGAATTCCAGTACTAAATGATTCCGGGTAGCTTAATTGAGGAGTTTTCGACGAAATACTGAAAGATTAGGGTTCAGAATCAATCCAAATGAAACGACTTATGAATCAGCGCAGAATAAGTTTTTTTTAGGTATATTTCATAGAAATCTATCTATTGCATTGGTCCTTATGTCGGAATTAACTTAAAATTCTGTTCCATTATCTTTTAAATAGTAGAGTAAAGCTAAAAAAAATCAGTGGTTGAAAAATTTCCAAATAAGTGTTTTACGGAACAATTCAAACTCTTGATCGTGTTTTCGAACTTAAAAAGCTTAAAATTTGTAATCGGTGGAATTTAGAGCCGTTTTCTTTTGAAAATAGAGGAAAGTAGCAGGGATGGCCTGTAGGGTCTACCGTTTTAATAATTTTTCGATAAGTTCATGTGTTGGTTGTGCTAGTTTGAAAGTTATTGGCGAAAAAAGCACTCAAGAAAACATTATCAATGATTAGCGATGGTGGACCTCAAAATAAGAATTTATTGAGGTCCCTACTTATTTATTTTGTTGTAAAATCAGTGCTTTACAAGAAAAATGGAAGAAACTATTAAATTTTAGTAAAAATCGACTTAAGCATTTTTTAGGGGTGAGACAGTTTCGAGAACATATATTAGCTATAGTCACTTTCAAGGAATAAAGATTTGCCTACAATTTCCACCTATGGCCGATAAAGTAACATTGGATGTCCCGGAGTTATAGATAATTGAAACAAAAATTGTAAATTTACGTGATAATTAAATGAGAAATTTTCAAATTTATTCAGCGAGTATTTAAAATTGAAATTAAGAGCCGGTTTTTTGTGAGAATTTTTTTTTATATGTTTACCACAATGTTTCGTGAATGGAGTAAGAAAAAAAAATAATCGTTTCAAACGAAGCACCCTAATACCATACAGATTGTATCAAAATTGAAGTAATATAGTGTGGTATAGAATTTAACATGCAATTTACGCGCGCAACAACGTGTCGAATAGCCTCAGCACTAAGTTAAACCAAGTCAAAATTAAAATTTTTTTTTAGACTCGAGGTTATCCAATACTCACAAATGGCTGAGCTTTGGGCCATGCCATGCCCAATAGTTACTTCCAAACAGGGAGTTACAATTATTTTATTTACTCTATTCTTTAAGACTTAATAAGATAAAGAACTGAGTGAATTTTGTGAAAAAATTAATACCACGGATGCATCTTAGGAAATATTTTTAAGAAATCATCTTAATCCTTGTCAAGGTGTCATATTGTCTCTAAAAATGAACATAACGATAAATAATTTTGAGACCAGAATTAATGAACTCTCATGAAATTACTTACTATAAATTTAATGATAAATAAACCTTAGTCGCCCGGGTAAAAAAATTTATATATAATTACATATACTTATATATAACACCGGCATACAAAAAAAAAAGTGTCTGTACACCGGGCCCACCTATCTACGGGCATGTTTTTCGACCCGCTGAACACGAATTTCAAGTCAGTTTGACCGTCCAGCCTTCAATTTCGAGTAAATTGCAAAAACCCCAAAAAATAACGAAAATTCGATGTTTTATTGGCAAGAAAAAAAATTTTGAGATCTAAGGCAAGCATAATTTTCATGTATTTTGGTCTGTTAAATACTAATTTTGATCGTACTTTAATCATAAACCGTTTTAAATCTAAAAAAATTGTAAGAAATCATCAAAAATTGCAAAAATCGAAGAAAATTGGGATTATCTTGTTACAGAAAATTTTGTGGACCCGGATTGACGAAGATTTTTATGTAATCTAATCTGCTTGATCTGATTCTGCAATAAATTTGGCCCATAGTCCCCTCAAACATTCATAAAACTGCAAAAGACCGATAAAATAGCAGAAAATTGCTGCTGAAAAAATGGAAAAAAATCTTTTAAACACAATTAAATAAATTTCTTTTATTTTTTATTTCTAAAATACAAGATTAAGATCCAAGAATGTACACAAATTGGATTTTTAACGGTTTTTCGAGGGTATTGTACTGTTTCATTCTCAAATGATCTACGACGTGGACACCTCTTCTTCCACCTTTTCCTTTATTTAGTAAAAATTTGCCATCATGTTGGAATTTCAACTTCTTCGATATGCAGACTTCATTTCATTGCATGATCCTTTGTACTTGCAATCAAGGCACCTCCTCCGGGTGACGGTGGGCAACAGAACTATCTGACAGAGTCCCTGGGTTAACGGCGTATGTGCCGCCATGACAGGTACAAGTGATGAGTACTTTACGATGCAGGGATTCGGAAACCCAGTATCGGCGTCTGGTCAGGGTGACATAAGTGAAATGGAGACTAGGTATCAAGGAACTTGAAATATCAACATGATGGCAGACTATTGCTGGACACTCAAAAGAGATATACCAGAAGAAAATATCAAACGAAAGAGAAATCCACTCCGTAGATCATTTGAAAATAAAAGAGTACGGTACCACCGGAAAACAGTTTAAAAGTTGGGAAAATCATTCTTCTAATTATGTTTATACATCATTTTCATAGATTTTACAATTTTTTTGCATTTTCAGATATGAATCTTGTATTTTTTTAATAAAAAATACAAGAAATTTATTTAATTGTGTTTAAAAGATTTTTTTTCATTTTTAAAGCAGCAATTTTCTGCTATTTAATCGATTTTTTGCAATTTTATAAATATTTGAGGGGATTATAGGCCAAATTTATTGCAGAATCAGATCAAGCAGATTAGATTACATAAAAATCTTCATCAATCCGGGTCCCCAAAATTTTTTATACCAAGATGATCCCAATTTTCTTCGATTTGTGCAATTTTTGATGATTTCTTACAATTTTTTTAGATTTCAAACGGTTTATGATTAAAGTACGATCAAAATTAGTATTTAACAGACCAAAATACATGAAAATTATGCTAGTCTTAGATCTCAAAATTTTTTTTCTTGCCAATAAAACATCGAATTTTCGCTATTTTTTGGGGGTTTTTTGCAATTTACTCGAAATTGAAGGCTGGACGGCCTAAACTGACTTGAAATTTGTGTTCAGCGGGTCGAAAAACATGCCCGTAGATAGGTGGCGCCCGGTGTACAGACAACTTTTTTTTTGTGTGCTGGTGTAATTAATAGGGTGGTCCTTATTTAGGTTATGTTCGAATTTTTTTTCACGATAGTCCTAAATCGGCTCCAAATCTGTAAAAAAAATTCATGCCGAATTTTAGCTCTTAATTTTAATATTAACCCGGCCCTCCCGATCGCCAAAGTTTTAAATGGAAATAACACGGGAAAAGTTCTGTTAATACTTTGGAATTTTTTTTATCATGAAATAATGAACAGATCATGTAGACCAATAACAAATCTTATAGAAAATTTAACGCTCTACAAAAAAGGTCTCTTATGATTTTTCGCTATCTTGACTGGTTCAAAAGTTATTCGAGGTCAAAAGCAAAGTTCTAGTCAATTTTATTGTTTTTTTTTTTTTTCATTTTTATCGTCATTTAATAATTCAAATATGAAAAAGGGTTAATATTCATGTTTTAGACGACCTCTCTGACCTTGACGTATGTTCTGACAGGAAAGTAATATTTAATTGAACAAATTTTGGAGTCATTGGCTCATGCGTGTCATCCTACCTACACCCACTGTCCTGTCATCATCACTATAGCATAAGAATACAATTGTACTAATCACTAATCAGTCTGTTATAATAAACCATCAGGTATAGATGCCTACATAACGACTCCTTGTAATTACTTATTTACCTGAACCAGTATTCTACTAAAGATCCCAACAAAAAATTGATTATTAAAATTAAAATGAATCGAAAAAAGTACCAATATTATCATTTTTTCTTTAATCACAGATACTTTCATAAATTTTTTACATTAGTTTTTTTCAGCGCGTTAAGAAACATTTGACAATGATCCTTAACCAATTGTAACATATATTGTATTTGTTTCTTATCGTTAGTATAATGTTTACAAAAACCTTGCACTAGGTTAACTCCTCTCCCAGCACAGTCATTCCCAACCGATAGTTTTTCGAGGTACCGTAATGCAATTTTATAACCTTCATTATCAGCCCATTCAGAAGGATTAATTTTAAAAAATTCTGTTTGTAACTCAAACCTTTCAAAAAATTTAAATGGATATAACCCGCATCTTTTAAATTCATTTTTTATCGATTCGCTCAAATCTTTGTTATCCAATAGTTGCTTGAAAAGAGGGCAGAATTTTGTTTGTGACAAATGACAATTTACATTTTCTGGTTGCATTTGCCAGACACGAACAGTTTTCTTCCACTCACTTTTTAACGGTTTAAAAACACTAACATCTGGAGGCTGCATCATGTGAGTTGTATTTGGTGGTAAAGGATAAAGTATTATTTGATTCTTAGCACAGAATTCACTTATTTTTGAAGTCAAATGACTTTTATGTCCATCAACTAACACAAGAACTGGTTTCTTGATATTTTTTTCCGATAACCATGGATTTAATGATTTGACAAAATAATCATAAAATACATCAGTTTTCATCCAGCCAGTTTCTGATTTCCCTAATATCCATCCTTCAGGTAAACTTTCAATGATATCTCTTGGAAGACGTAAATAGGGAAACACAACACATGAAGGAAGTGTTTCTCCACTTGCAGTGAAAAAAAGTAGTACAGTGATAGCTTCTTTCTCTGGACTAGTTGAAACTTGGTAAACATTTTTATATCCAATTGGAGCAATAACTTTTCCTGTTTTCGGGCAAAGCTGAAGACTTGTTTCGTCACCATTTATCATTCTTGCTGGGTCATCAAGAATATCTTCTACATTCTCATCTTTAAGATGATTTTGAAGTCCAATAAACCAGTTCTTGATTAGTTCTTCAGTAATTACAGCCCTACCTTTGCTAATAGATTCAGGAGTCTTAGATGTCAAGTTATGTCTCTTCATGAAACCATTGTACCACTTCAATCCTGGACGATCATTTTTGAACGGTGTTTTTCGTTCATCTTTTTTAATTATTTGTGCTACAGTATTTAATAAGTCATCTTTTTTCAAGGGAAATCCACACTTGACTAAATTCTTACACCAATCTGCAAATGCTTTTTCTTCAAGTGCTGTGAATACTGTGTTGGGCCCCTTCCTACCAATATCTTCAGATACTCGACCATGAAGACGATCTTGAAGAGTCCCTCGAGGAATATTATATTGACGGCTAGCAGTTCGTATTGCCATACCGCTCCTAATGTCACACAACGCCTTCATTAACTGATCTTCATTATATTGCTTCTTTACAGGTTTTTCAGTTTTATTTTTTTTTCGTAACGTTTTTTTTCCGGAGTTTAACTTTTTTTTGCAAGCACGAGACATTTATATTTTCTGAAAAAATGATTTTAGATTATAAATTAATTAGATTGTAATTTAATTCAACAAAAAAAAACACTTCTAACAATTTAAATTTGAATTTTTTAAGAGGCTGAGCATTAGGATAAACATTATTTAATCTAAATAACCAGTACTCAGCCCCCCCGGCTGAGTGATGGAAAAAATGTCAAAAATGAACCTTATATCCAGCCTCTATAATTTTCAATTATATTGCATTAAATGTCACAAATTATTATCAAAATTATTTAAAGAACATATTTTTAATTGAACATAACTCACCTTTTGTTAATTTTCGTATTAAATCTTTTGTAAACAACTTGCAATCAGTAGGAGAACGTAAACAAATAATTAAGAAAATAGCGCCAGTTGCCGCTCAGAACGAGAATAGTATATACTCATGCTTTGTTTTCATATACGATACTTACGCTAAATGTTGTAGCAGTCATTATTGGTACTAAAAGAATAGGTGGTAATTTTAAAATTTTCTTTTTCCGTTACTGTTTCAAATTTAATTATTTATTTAATAATATATAAAAAAAGGGGCTGGCTACTGGGTGGGGGCTGGGTATCGGATACTTCACCCTATGTTAAATAAAAGAAATTCAAATTTCGAAAAAAATTTAAATTAAAAATAAATATAGATTAAAAAAATGTTATTCTTAGAAGCTCTAGCGGTTTCGACGACTCAGCGTAAACTCGGAGTTTACGCGGAGTTACTATGGAGTATACGCCCTCTCGGAGTTTAATCGGGGTATAAGCAGAGTTTAAGCGGAGTTTTAGAGGTGTATGCAAAGAGTATTGTGTGCAGTTACGACACGGAGTCACAAAAGTGTATTATTAGAGTTTTTGAGAAGTTTTCGACGAGTTTTTTCGAAGTCGCTATGGAGTTTACCTCGCGTTTTTGTTGGATATTTTCGGAGTTGCAGTGGAGTTTTTTTGGTGTTTTCATCGAGTTTTTGTTAAGTATTTTCAGAGTAGCTAGGGAGTTTTTGTCGAGTTTTTTTCGATGTTTTGCGGAGCTATATAAGAGTTTCGCTGGTGTTTTTTCGGAGTTTTGGTAGTCTTCTTATGGAATTTACTCGCGATTAATAATAGTTCATGGCATGAAAATTAAATTTGATTTTACAAAGATGACTATAAATAAATCATTTTTCAATTACGGTGTAGTTTTCATTAATTTATTTATTTATTTCCAAGTTTAAATTTATTTATCTACATAAAATATGTTATTCAATAAATAAACTATGAATTTTATAAGTAACATATACGATACATAAAAAAATGACATCATAAAAAAATTGTCAAAATTTTACAGTTGATTCTCTGAAACAATATTATCATAACTTAAATTAGAATTTTATCAATACATAAAGTGATTCAAAACTTGAATCGGTTTCCGTAAGATAGACAGTGTCGTTTATTATTGCGGGTCTTATTAGATGACTGAATAGAAAATACGGACAATGTCTCAGATAGCTTGACCGATTGAGTCCTTGACTTGTAATGGAATACGGTCCAAGTTCGAGTCCTGGTCTGTTCAAATTATTTTTTCGGTTTTTCTTTCATTATGCATCAGAAAACTTCTATGAAACTCGCAAAATACTCTCGGAAATCTCCACAAAAACTCGGTGAAGACGCCATCTAAACTCGACAGAAAATCCGAAAAAACACTGATAAAACTGGGGAAAAACTTCATGAGACCACCAGCGAAATTCCAACCAAACTCCGTAATGATCTCAATTAAACACCAATCAACCACTATCATCTTCATGTGTCACAACTGCACACAATACTCCGAGTTTACTCCCCATATACGCTGACTATAATCCGTCATTACGCTGAGTTTCGGACGAGTTTCTACAGAGTTCTATCGGTGGCACCGAAACCGCTAGGGAGAGTAGAAATTAAAAAAAAAAATCTAAATTTCGTAAATTGAAATTTTGAAGAAGAAAAATCCATATGAAAAATACTAAATTTATGGAAAAAATTGAATGAGAAAAAAATTAGGAATACGGTTGACCCTGAAGGCCATCCCTGCAACTTCCCGCCAATTCTATACCTAAACGCTTGAAATTGCACTTATGATGTTTTAGTGCTCTGCGAGCTCATCAATACAATTTGTGTATTATTTTGAGCTCTCCGAGCTCAAAAAAATAGCTTTTGTATGCTTTTGAGCTCTTCGAGACAAAACGGGCACGGCAGCAATTTGGATTGTGAACACAAAGAACGTTACCGTCAACTACAGCGGAAGTGGAGCAGGTTTTGTCTGGATCCAAACCCTCACAACCTACTTCATGAGCGTCTATCTCTCACCTAACGAAGGAATTAGTGTGTTCCGACAGAAACTGTCAAATATAGAAAATGCGATCATTAACCCCCACGGAAAAAGTATATATTCTAGTATATATTCTGGAATATATTCTGAAATATATTCTACAATATATTCGAGAATATATTCAAAATATATTCCGGATATACCCCGTTTTGCCCAAGGAATATATTTCAAAATTATATATACCTGAATATATTCAGTATATATACTGTCTATATAGTATACGATGGATCAGACTATAGATCTGACGACAGACCAGACTATAGACCAGAGAAAAATTTTGAGTAAAACGGAATACAAGTGAGTGCATGCCCATATATTCCGGAATATATTCCTCGGGCAAAACGGGGTATATTCGGAATATATTCTCGGATATATTCTGGAATATATTTCAGAATATATTCCAGAATATATTCCAGAATATATACTTTTTCCGTGGGGGAAGTTCGACGATGAAGTTATCGTAGCCGGAGACTTCAACGCTAAATCAGCTGAGTGGGGCGCTGTTTTCTCCGATACCAAAGGAAACGAGGTCGCTGACGTCGCGGCTAGACTCGACCTCATAGTGCTGAACACCGGGAGCACAACGACCTTTAGAAGACCAGGGTACCAAGAATCCATCCTCGACATCTCATTGGCGACTCCAAGGAGTGCCAACATGATCGAAGACTGGGTAGTATCCGAAGAATACAGTGGCAGTGATCATCAGTTCGTGACATTCAGCGTCAAATTGTCATTTGCTCCGGTTTCACAACGCAACGTTTCTAAGCGGAAGTGGAATGCCAAAAAGCTTGATCCAGAGGCATTGAAAGCTTCGCTTGCACGAAGCTGGTCTATTCTTCAGAACAACACGACTCCGGATGCGTGCAGCGAGACGGAAATGGCAGTGCTAAATACGATGAAGGAAATTGCTGCCGCATGTGAGGCCTCTATGCCGCGGCTGAAAAATCAGAAATTCCACAGGCCGGCGTACTGGTGGTCAACAGACATAGCAGAACTTCGCAAAATATGCCATCAGCTACGACGCCGAGCAACTAGAGCCGCGAAACGCTCCCCAAGCCAGGACAAGTATCCAAAAGAGTATAAGCAGGCCAAAAAGACGCTAAACCGAGCCATCAAAGCAAGTAAAGCAAAGTTGTGGAAAGAGATCTGCAACGATCTCGACAATGACATCTGGGGTAAAGCCTACCAAATTGTCACCAAACGACTTGGAAAGGCTTCACCAGAGGCACCGAAGTCTCCTGCC